GCGGCTCCTTAGCTGGGCGGGCTGACGGCTGGTTCTCCCAGCAGCTCGGCGCATCGCTGTCTGGTCGCGGCTTCTGTGTGCTGTGCGGCTGCCGGGTTATGGAGGTCTCCGAGACCAGGTCTCGGGAGACCTCTGTGTTCCACCCGGTTTTACCCAGCGGTCAGCCCGGCGTATCTCTGACTCAGAAGCTCTGGTGTTGTGCACAGTTAACTCTGGTTGTAGCTAGGTTGCTACCTCCGTTAGCTTAGCTCCCACCTCCGCATTAGCTTTGGGTTAGCTTCAGGTTAGCTTGTAGCTAGTTCGACCGAGTGTCGTCAGTCGGTCCCAGCCTTACAGCGCCACCCTCAGCTCCTCTTCTCTTCCCTTTTTTGGAATTGTCTGGGCTTGATGGAACCTGTGACACGGTCAAAATGGCGGTGGTGGCCACCTCCCATTTGGCCTCAAAAAACTGATATTGGAGCCTATAGAAAGAAGATGGCCATAATATTAATGTCGATGGTGTGCACACACACGTGCGTGCTGAGTCTGACGCAGTGTTGGAAAGTTGCGTGGTTGTGCCATACAGAAGTAAAGGTCCACGAGCAGATAAAAAGAGGAAAGGAAAGAATTATGAAGGTTAAAGAAGAAGAAAGAACTAAAATGAAAAGGTGATAGGGGTGTGAGATGGTTAAGAACAGGTGATCTCATCATCTAGAACACAGATCTAGCAGCTATTTTATCATGACGTGCTCAAACCCAGTGAGTCCTGATAAGAATTATAAATGTCTGACCAGATGTTGGGCTAATACAGCGAGCAAGGGCGTCAGTTTGTTTTTAGAATTGCTGGGGACAATAACCATACACTTGAGTGGGGTTTAAAAATTGATGGGGACAATAATTTAATAGGCTAGCATGTTTAAGTATTCATCAGTTGGTAATGGAATCATTACATCCATATCATAGCTAGCCTTGTAAAAAGATCTTTGTTATAATAATAATAATAATAATAATAATAATAATAATAATGTATATTGTATATCCTTGTTATATTATTTGTGACTGTCAAATAATAAGATTTTCAGAGAAAAATACTCATATTTATATCAGGCACCACTCTCTGTACAACTCCACACTCCAACAGCCTAGTTGTCCGTGAACTACCGGATTCATTGATTTTTTTTAAAAAAAGTTAAGAAGCTGGAGTAGGTGAAAAGTAGGTGAAAAGTAGGTGTCAGCTTCAAAGTTTTGGTTGCAAAGTAAAAAGTGCGTGTGCGCGGGAACTTCAGCAGAAGCAATGGTGGCTGGTAAGGGTCACCGCGCCTAAACCGCGGCCACAGTAAACCCACAGAGATAATTTAGTTTTTTAAAAACTGGACGGTTATTTTTATTGTCAACTTTTTTTACCAGGGTTTACCGCTATACCGGTTACCGTGACAACCCTAGTTGGATTGTTGAACCTCAGATTCAGGAGGAGCAATGTGGTGTTTGTCCTGGCCGTGGAACACTGGACCAGCTCTATACCCTTAGGGGGATCCTGGAGGGTTCGTGGGAATTTGCCCAACCAGTCTACATGTGTTTTGTGGATTTGGAGAAGGCGTTTGACCGTGTCCCTCGGAGGGCCCAGTGGGGGGTACTCCGTGAGTATGGGGTACCAGGCCCTCTGATACGGGATGTTAGGTCCCTAAATGACCGGTGTCAGAGCTCGGTCCGCATTGCCGGCAGTAAGTCGGGCTCGATCCCATTGAGAGTTGGACTCCGCCAAGGCTGCCCCTTGTCACCAATCCTGTTCCATCAATAAAATGCACCAGTGTCCATAACATACACCTGCCTATATCAATACCCACTTAAACATTCTCCCTCACCTGATAACATTTTACTTTCTTTGACACTGAATGTGCTACAACTAGTTTACCCATTTAATTATAGATCCACTAGGTTAAATACAATAAAGTTTATCTCTCGCAAAATAGAATATTTACTAAGAAATCACAATGTAACTACATAAACACTACTTGGTATATATGTTGTGTGTGTGTGTGTGTGTGTGTGTGTGTGTGTGTGTGTGTGTGTGTGTGTGTGTGTGTGTCTGCTCTGTCTTCTCCATCCCCAGTGAGTCGTGGTGGATGGCTGTTAAAAGGGAGTTTTCCTCTCCACTGTCGCTAAATGCTTGCTTAGTATGAGGATTGCTGTAAGAGTGTATATGAGAAATATTAGAGACACACTCATTTATTAACAATCCTAACTATTCACTAGTGTTACTGACTGCGGATGTTAGATTTTACATACAAATTAAAAGTCAGAACACGTCTCTGCTGTTTCTGATCACAGATTACACGCTAAACAGAAAAACAAGAGCTGCATTTATACACAGATCTTTTTCTGTGTTTCTATTCACCGTGTCATCCAAGTAAGACTTGGAGATGCGTGTGACGTTCTTCAGCTCCTCCCACCAGGAGGAAAAGTTCTGAACACAAAACACGGCCGGGAGAGGGGGTACAGACAGACGCTGCTGGAGTCTCCTCTCCCCTCTTCTGTACACAAGAGTGAAATTCTCCGACTCCCATACAGGAAAATAATTTAACTTATAAAACTGGAGCTAACACGTTGAGCAGCAAAGCAGCTGAGCGTTTAAGGTCACTAAAGTTGACAACAAACTAGCCTAGCATTAGCATCTTGCTGCCGGTAAGCGGTGGTTCTTACGGCTCGTTTTTTCTTTCACTAAGCTAAGTTTTATTATTTTACTTTTAATTCACACTAAATACACAGCTGTAGGGGTTTGAAACAACAAAGAGAAGCCTTACCTTTTTGATTGGGGTCCTTCACCGGTGTCGGTACAAGATCGGCTCGGGGTCCGTCAACTGTCGATGACGTCAAAGTAGTTGATTGGCTGAACATGAACCTTACGGAATTACGTAATCATGTTACGTTGTTATCACGTTACATTGGTCCAGGCAAATCTTTCTGTTGGAAAGATGGACAACTTTTACAAAGAAATCCATCATTACCTCTTTGAAAATACACTTTTAGCATAGAGCTGCATGTATATTAGGGCTGAACGATTAACTGCATGTGCAATTAAATTGTGATGTGACAAAAGGAGATTTTCTAATCGCAAAGGCTGCAATTTGGTAGCGAGTGGTTAGCGCAATGCTAATATATGTGGAAAAACCCATAGGAATGCTAATGCTAATATCATCGATTACATTATTACAAATTATGAATTAGAAACGTGCCAAATTATTACATTTGGAGTCTAATATAAAGTAAAACTACCATCAATCAAATAAGTACAGACAGGTATTTTATTAAAGCCAGAAAACTTTTAACTCCAGAGTTTTGGCTAGCAGCTATGAGCGTACCTGAACTACGCATGGACAAGACGTCAAAAACTAAATAGAAATTACTTCAATAAACGGGACAGACTTCTTTCCTGCAAATACAATTTCACAGGTGTTGCTAATACCTATGATCCTTCAAGGTATGTGCTCAAAGAGGAGTTCAACATTATGAATACAATATAGTGTTTTATTTTACAAATACCATTATAAACACAAACTTACGTCGTAAGAAACATTATTTTAATAATGAAACTGCTAAATTCTTTCCAACAGTATAGATGTGTAGTGTATTTTGTCCGAGTGGGTTTGCCGTACTTTGACGTCATCGGCAGTCGAAGGACCCCGAGCTGATCTTGCACCCGAGAAGTTCCTGTACAGACACCGGCTTCCAGCAGCAGCGGGCTGCCAGTGTAGGTGCCTGACTTTAAATCGGCTGTACTATAGAGGCTTATTGACCGATGCCGATTATGAAAAAATGCTAAATATCGGCCCAATAAATCGATCAACCCCTAGTCTGGAACACTGACATGTGTCAGCTGATTTTTGTGTGTAGTCAGATGTAGAGACAGCGACATGAAATGGAGCTATACAAGACATGGGCTGTTGTTAATGAGCTAAAACATGACATACCCACAGCAAACTGTATTTGTTCCTTTTCTCTGGAAATCAGCTGTTGCGGTCTGTCATTTGAATATAAAAACACTAATCATGTGCAGCCGGCCTGCACTTGTAGGGCAGGGTGAGCACAAATGACCAATAACTGTATTTAAAAACGGACAACAGACAGAGGAGCAGAGAAACTATCTTATTTTGAAATATCAGAGGTGAAGTAACATTTCAGGAGCGAATAAGAAGAAAGAGGCGTTCCCGTTTACAAACCAAAACGACCCTTTTAGCGGCTGGCCGTATGATATTGGTTTCAGCAGACCCAGGCCATCTGCAGCTCTTCTACAGTAGCCTGACCTGCCAGAGAAAGAGGGTTTCTCTGTGCAGAACTAACTCACTCTCTCTCTCTCTCTCTCTCTCTCTCGCTCTCTCTCGCTCTCTCGCTCTCTCGCTCTCTCTCTCTCTCTCTCTCTCTCTCTCTCTCTCTCTCTCTCTCTCTCTCTCTCTCTCGTCAAAAGCGGTTCAACCGCAATGAGACAGCATTTTTTTATCCTTAAAAGTTCCATCTTTAGGAGCTTCAATGATGCTGGTTGTCAGTAGTCCATGTAAGGTCGGATGTGATGGTCCAAGTATTTAAGATGTTTCAGCATCTACACAGCTTCTCCTCCGATGAGCCACTGGCGGTTCGTCCGTACAACGTGGATTCATTGTTGGAGATCAGGCCAAATGGATGATCTTATAGGGGACAACAGAGTCCCATCTGAGAGAAACACCATTCAAAGGTCCAAACAGAGGAACCCTGTGGGTTCTGAAACAGCACACTTCTCCGTTCAGTCACGACCTGGACCTTTGTGTCCTGGTGACTCGGATGTCTGAACAGTGTTATTTTACCATTTCCACACAATCAAATGAAAACATGAGTTAAAATGAGCTAAACGTTCCAGAATCCTCCAGAATGGAGGTACAGACCACCATGTGATGTTCAGGCTCGGTTCTCTCTGGGTTATGGCTGAATGAAAAGTAAAGATCTGAAAGTCTGAGCAGATAATCCAAACCGGAACCGACCGGAAAACCCACCTTTCATCCGCTAACAAAATGTTGTCAAACAGGTCCTCGTCTGCTCCTCCTGACATCGCTCTCCCTTGACCGAACGGTACCGGGACAGTTCCACTGCACTGGAAATCCGAGGTGAAACACCGACGAGAGCGAGTGGTTCCGCTTAAGTTCGGAATCACTTTTGCTTGTTTATTGGCGGTATGCATACGGTACCTTCCCGCAGTCTGCTCGGGTGCAAGATCGGCTCGGGGTCCATCGACTGCCGATGACGTCAAAGTACGGCAAACCCACTCGGACAAAATACACTACACATCTATACTGTTGGAAAGAATTTAGCAGTTTCGTTATTACAATAATGTTTCTTAAGACGTAAGTTTGTGTTTATAATGGTATTTGTAAAATAAAACACTATATTGTATTCATAATGTTGAACTCCTCTTTGAGCACATACCTTGAAGGATCATAGGTATTAGCAACACCTGTGAAATTGTATTTGCAGGAAAGAAGTCTGTCCCGTTTATTGAAGTGTTTTCTGTTTAGTTGTTGACGTCTTGTCCATGCCTAGTTCAGTTACACTCATAGCTGCTAGCCAAAACTCTGGAGTTAAATGTTTTCTGGCTTTACTAAAATATATGTCTGTACTTATTTGATTGATGGTAGTTTTACTTGCTATTAGACTCCAAATGTAATCATTTGGCACGTTTCTAATTCATAATTTGTAATAATGTAATCGGTGATGTTAGCATTAGCATTTCTATGGGTTTTTCTGCGTATATTAGCATTGCGCTAACCACTCGCTGCCAAATTGCAGCCTTTGCGATTTGAAAATCTCCTTTTGTCACATCACAATTTAATTGCACATGCAGTTAATAGTTCAGCCCTAATATACATGCAGCTCTATGCTAAAAGTGAATTTTCAAAGAGGTAATGATGGATTTCTTTGTAAAAGTTTTCCATCTTTCCAACAGAAAGATTTTTTTTACAATCTTTATTGACACATTTGCAGCAGACAAGACATAACATATTGACAAATGTACAGGGTGTGATACATTGACAAACATAGAAGAAAGAGAAAAAAATGTTAATAAAAATAAACAAATAATTATACACAAATAAAATAAAATTCCACTAATACATTACCTTGTAATATGGGGCATAATAGAATTCATCAAGTTGCACATTTTCGCAGCTTTCTTGTTTTTACTAATTCTACTTACAGAGTCATAAAAAAAATTAAGATCAATATAAAATAAAGTTACATTTGGTATAGCCTGTAGAAATCTGACTTTATGAATGTGAAATTTACCCAACAGACACAGCAATTTTATTACATCGTTAACTTCCTTGTTACATTTAATGTTTAAGAATAAGACCATACTTTCATTAAAAGTAATCAATATTTTATGAGAATCCCAAACTAATGAAGACAATTGATTCCAAAACTGTACAACTAAAGGACAACCATAAAACAAATGAGTAAGAGACTCAACACCTGTTTTGCAAAAGGAACATAAAGGGGACACATTAGGTCTAAATCTATTAATAAATTCATTACACGGATAATATCTATGTTAGATTTTCAAGTGTATTTCTTTAACTTTATTGGGGACAAAAAATTTCTGAACCTCAGAAAAGGCATTGCTACTGATGTCAGGAAACATTACCCTCCAATGATGTAATGAATTTGGAACCTGACTATATAGAGAGGTGAAAACTGCTCTAATGTGAGCATTGTTACATGAGCGCTCTTCAAGAAGCTTTCCACCAAGACACAGTGCAGTAATCCTTCCTGTGTAAGGTGTATACTGACCAGGAGCTCTGACAAGAGACAGTAAATGAACAGGAATACTTTGGAGAATTCTAGAGTGCATAGCGAGAGATGTGTTTAACCCTTTTCGTTGGATGAATTCATCATAGGTAGCTAGGTCCCCGTTATCATTCAAAAGATCAAACACAAACATAACACCTTGATCATACCAGTCTTTGTAAAACAGAGTCTTGTTCTTGTGAGCAATATGTTGATTGTTCCATAAAGTACATGTGTGAGGGGAAAAGTTGTGTTTGAAAGCCATTTTCCAAGTGTCCAGGGCTTGTTTGTGAAAGTTGGCCTGTTTAATAGGCAGTTTACCTGAGGTAAAGTTGCATGAAAGCAAGAACTTTAAGCCGCCACATTTGTTAAACAAAAAATTGGGAATAAAAAACCATGGTTCATTATTATGTGAAAGACAATGTTTTAACCAATTAATTTTGAATCTATTGTTGATTGTCTGGAAATCCAATACATTAAGACCCCCCCTCTGAAATCTGTCTAATAAGTGTTTTCCTCTTTCCGTATTCATTTTTATGTTTCCAAATAAACTTAAATAAGAGTGAATCAATAGCTGCACAGGTTTTGCTATCAACATATAAAGATAAAGCTGGGTATACTAACCTGGATAATCCTTCAGCCTTGGAGAGTAAAACACGACCTATAATGGTAAGATCCCTCTGTAGCCAGCAATTAAAGACAGATTTAGATTTTTCTATTTTTGGGTTGAAGTTTTTTGAAATTCTTTCACTAGAGGATTTGCTTAATGTGATACCCAAATATTTAACTTCTTTTTTTTTTTACCTCTATGCCATCTATTGATACGGTGTCTAAATCATGTATGGCTAATATTTCACATTTTCTCTTATTAACTGTGAGACCAGAAGCATCCGAGAACCTGTTTAAAGCTTTAATAATAACAGGGACTTGAAGATCATTTTGAAGAAAAAGGTAGGTATCATCGGCCAGCTGACTGATGGTTAGAACATCTTGACCTATTTTAATACCTTTTACATTCACACAGTTAACAATGTAAAGATTAAGAAGTTCAGCAGCTATCAAGAATAAGAAAGGGGAAATAGGACACCCTTGTCTTATTCCACACTTCACATCAAAGCGAGGAGAGGTACCATGTGCCAGGGATACACAGCTATTAATATTAGTGTAAAGAGTGATTATTATGTTTCTGAAGTTTTCTTTGAACCCAAAATAATGTAAAGCCTCAAAAATAAATGAGTGCTCCACAGTATCAAAAGCTTTGTAGAAGTCCAAAAATAAAATCAATGACTTTTCATCAAACAAATGTCCATAATCTAAAATATCTAAAACAAGCCTGATATTGTTAGAGATGTGTCGACCTTTCATAAATCCTGACTGCGTTACAGAGATCATTTCTTCCAAGCAAAATTTTAATCTATTTGCATATAGTGATGCAAGTATTTTATAGTCTGAATTTAGTAACGCCAATTATCCAAATAATGTAGATATTTATCAGGTTTAGGAATTAAGGATATTACACAATGCTTCATAGAGACAGTCAGTTCCATATTTTTGGCACAATCCATGAAGGCTTCTAACAACATACATTAAGTCATCCCAAAAGGTTTGGAAAAATTCATAAGGCAACCCATCGGGGCCTGGACTTTTATTAGATGGCATTTTTGTAATAGTCTTCTTCAGTTCATCAAGCGTAATTGGACTTTCACAAAGCTCACAATTCTCCCGGGAGATTTTAGGAATGAATGGGGAGACACAATCAAAAAAATCCTGAGAGGCTTGAGGCACAAACAAGGATGAGTACAGCTTCTGATAAAAGTTAGAGATAAAGGAAGAAATTTCATTTTCATCTTTTGAGAGATTGTCATTAATAAATAAAGTAGATATTTTTCTTGCCTCTCCACATTTTTTCTCCAGATTAAAAAAGAAGGATGAGTTTTTCTCTCCGTGTTCCAACCATCTCTCCCGAGACCTTATAAAAGCTCCCCTTGCCTTTTTCTGGAAATAAAGGTCTAATTTTCCCCTTAATGAGTGCAAACGCACTTTATCTTCCTTACTGAGAACAGGTATACTTAAAATTTCATTAAACTCTTTTAAATAATTAGTATAAGCTTTATTCTGATCTCTTATTTGTTGCTTTCCAAAGCACATTGAGAAGCGCTGACATTCAAATTTGAAAAGCTCCCATTTTAGGGTAGGTGTAATTTCAGACATTGAATTGAATTTAGTAGCAATTTTTTTAATGCCCAAGCAGTAATCATTTTTTTGTAGCAAGGAAGAGTTTAATTTCCAATATCCAGGTTTGCTACAATTAGTGGATCTTAAACTTGATATAGATATATCTATCCCAGCATGATCAGTTAAGGGAGCAATAGCAATATTACAACTTCGAACCCAGGGAGCTAAATTATCAGAGATTAGCCACAAATCTATACGCGATTTTTGAGATAGGTCGGTTTTAAACCAAGTAAAGAGGTTATTTTCCAAAGGGTGTAAAATTCTCAGGGCATCTAGTAAGGTAAGTTTACCACAGAAATCATAAATAACAGGGTTAAAATTATCTGGACTACCTTTTGCAGGAAATCTATCTGAAAATAAATTTGGAGCTTTGTTAAAATCACCGCCAACAACCACAAATGCTGAAGGAAATTTGTTCCAATTCCATGAGGATTTTATCAGATAAAGAGTTGAGAAGCGTGGTGTTAGAAACCCTAGAATTAAAGCCATAAACATTTACTAAAATAAAAAAATTATCTCCACATCTAAGGACCAACAGAATCCATCTGCCGTCTTCTGAAACCTCGGTGTATATGACTTCACCATTAAATTTAGGATTAAATAAAATTAAAACACCCCCTGAAAAATTAGTACCATGAGAAAAAATACCCCCCCCCCCCCCCCCCCCCATTGATTATGCCACAATGTAACATCTTTTGAAGAGGAATGAGTCTCCTGTAAAAAATAGACATCCTTATTTTGCTGCATACAAAATAAAAATAAAGCTTTTCTTTTGGTTAAATCTCGAACACCCCGTACATTTAGAGAAAAACACGACAAACAAAAATCAGACATATAGAACACAGAAGAACAAAACTACTTGAACAGTAGTTGTATTAAGTTATGCGAAAAGTTGAGAAATGTGCCAATCTTGAACTCACAAGCCAAAACCTAACACTGAGTGATCAAAATTGGACCAGACCCATGTAAACTATAAAGCAGGATCATACTACAAATTCAAAAACCCATAGTAGGTATGTAACTATTTTTAAATAGCATACATTTCTCCCTCTCTCCCTTTTAAAATGTTTTTAATTTTTTTAATTACTTTTTATTTATTTATTATTATTATCTCTCAAAACTCAAGAATTGGAACCAATCAGTATAAACAGGTGCCAAACAAAACACATACGTTGTTTCTTTAATTTTGTCTATTTAGAAGATAAAGCCAGAGGAATAGAACATCCGAAGCTTA